TTTCGAACAATATTTGATGCATAGCAGTAAAAATTGGTATACAAGGGTTTTTTGGTGCGACAAAACGAACCATGGGCATAGTTTTACTGTAGCCGCCTAGAGGGCGCTCTCTACTGTACCTGTAGTGTATTAAAATGACCGAAAAAATTTTCTTAGTGGAATTTTTTACTTTTTGAATAAAAAAACTGATTCTTCACACTTTTCTCCATAAAAAAGCTCACATGTGAGTTTTCGTTATAGTTAGCCGTTTTTGAGATATTTCGAATTTTAAGGTTCGATGCATTTTTAATTATTTATGGGAAAATAATATTTTTTTTACATTTTCGATTTGTGCATTACAAGTAATTAAGATGATCGTTTAGATTGTGTTTTTAAAAACTAAATTTCGTGCATTCACAATTGCAAACAAAACGTTTCAGGTTTCAACAGACAACAAAACTGTCAACTAATTGACGTTTAACCTTATTCTGCTTTCAATTTCTAAAAATTATTATATATATCATAAATAATTAAAAATGCATAGAACCTTAAAAATCGAAATATCTCAAAAACGGCTAACTATAACGAAAACTCACAGGAGAGCTTTTTTATGTTGAAAAGTGCGAAGAATCATTTTTTTTTATTCAAAAAGCAAAAAATTGCACTAAGAAAATTTTTTTGGTCATTTTAATACCCTACAGGTACAGTAGAGGGCGCCCTCTAGCGGCTACAGTAAAACTATGCCAATGGTTCGTTTTGTCGTACCAAAAAACCATTGTATACCAATTTTCACTGTTATAGATCAAATATTGTTCGAAATATTTTAAAAAACTATTTTAGAAAGTAAATTTAAACACCCTGTATTTCGGAAGCCACGCATTTTTCGACCCATGTTTATATAGACTTTATGCATTAATTTTAAAAGTTCTATCGAATCTTAAAGTTATGCAACAATAAACTGAAACACCGTGTATATCAGGCGATAAGTTTCCAATAAAATATCTTGAAGTGCATTTTACATAACTATTCATAGCTTGAATTTTTCTTTTTATCCAGTAGTACTTGGAAATTGTAATTCAAGCATTTTTTTCATTATATCTCCATAGCGAATAAAGACATTGATTCACCATTTTATATGACATCTTATGCTCTTTCCGAGCAAAATTAAAAAGTTACAGTTGCATTTTAAACTTTAGTAACAATTCAAGCAAACATTACATAAAATATGTAATGGCTACAAAGTGTACTAATTTGACGAGATTGAGAATTTAGTAAGAGCGCTAGCGGCCATTTTAGGAGGCTGAAAATAATTTCCAGCAATTTCCCCTGGCCGCTTTTGTCATGGCATTTTTTTAACGGATGGCCGTTTCATATCTTACTGTGATCAATTGTGGTGAATTGATTATTGCCTATTTTTATAAATCAAGACATTCAAGTTGTATTTTAACATAAAAACCAATATGCAGACAGAACAAATGCCAGAGCACATCGGCTGATATGAGGAGCTTAAAGAAACTTTGTTAATTCGATTTTTTGGAATACTGCCTAAAGGCGGACTGTCACGATACGAAATTTTGTGCTAAATTTCTTACAAAATTTAAGATAGTGTCAGACAGCATTTAGTACATAATTTTGTATGAACAAATTTAGTGTTAAATTTTATAAAAACTGCTCTAAATAATATCATACTAAAAGTGTAAGCAGTACAATGGCTGATATAACCTCAAACCTCAAACACTTTCATTATTTGATGTTATCAGCTATCATGAGCATCGCGAAACTCATCTGCGTATGCTGTTCTAGCTATAGATTAAAAACAAAAGATGTCATGATCAAAAGAGCAGTGTGACATATTACTAAACGAGTACCTATGAGAAATATGATTGCTTATATGATGTAAAAAACAAGGCATATAGATACAGAAAAACCAAATAAGCTGCGATGGATAAAATCAGAATGACTTAAGAATCTTATATGCCAATGGATCCTGCACTAGAAGGCATATGGAGCACACACATCCCCTAGTCCCCTTCCCTAATCCATTCTCGACTCAAATTCTTTTACGGTTTCGTTTACTTCATTTTCTTATGAGGTGGGTAGCTAAAGGAATAAAGTAGCAACCGCAAAGTGTGGTTAGAGTGACTGCGTGATAAATGGCAGTTAGAAGTTGACAGTTACAGTTTTATTTATACCAACTGCGCATGATTTCGTACGAAATTAGTGTCAGACAGGATTTTAATCTCTAAACAAATTGGGAACTAAATCCAGTAACGAATTTTTTCACGAAATTTAGTACCAAATCATGACAAAACATGACAAAATTTCGTATCGTGACAGACGGCCTTAAGGGTAATACAACTGGGAAAAGCCTGCCCATGTAGATTATTCCACAATCTCGATACCCTAGGGACAAAGGAACAGTCGTATCGACCAGTTCTGGATGTAGAAACTTCACGGTTAGGATAAGAGACCGAAGTCAGGCATGTCCGACTGCCAATTACATCGCGCGAGGGTGCATTTTAGAAGAGCTTTCAATTCCAAAGCCCATTGGCACAGTGGTAGAAGACAGCTAGATCGCCGAAGTCACGCCAGTGCGTTCCGAGACTGTTCGTTAGAGAAGAGTCATCTATCAGTCGGACAGCCATTCTTTGAACAGCATCGAGCATGTATGATGTACAAGTTGTTTGTATGGGCCATCATACATTGACATACGTTGAATATTTCATGGTACATACATGAATATTCTGACCAGTTGGACTACAAAAAATGTTAGCTCCCATCTTTCAAAGTACCTAAGGATAAGTAATCGAAGCGCAAAGTCGGGCTTGCATTTGTGGTCTTTGCTCTTCCAATCTCAACGGCCTTGTTTATTTTGTCTACAACACGTGCCACTTAGCCAGACATTTTTCCGTGGCTTTGTGGCGCACAGTCGTAATGCTGATTTCAAACATCCTAATGCATGGTGTAATGGATGATTTTATGTTCAAAGCAAATAATGCTGGATTTAATAACCTTGTTATCCAACGTATTGCTCTCCGGTATCATACAAAATACGCGCTTTAAAGTGTATTACAATTTAGTCTACGCCATAGCTATCTGATGATGTCATAAACCAGCTACCAAGTCTTTACTACAGCTAAATTAACTTCTGCCCTCTGGCTCTGAAAGTGCCCATAAAAGAGCTTACAGCCCATATGCATAGAGCATCGTACTAAAATGTACTAATTATTTATCCTACCAAACACCATAACTCGTTATGGATTCGAGCATTTCCTATCGATAATATTGTATGGTGGCCACTTCGACCTACAATGCAATATTGGTTATCAAGTAGTTGTTCAGATTTTTAGGTCAAAAGTGATACGTTTTCTCTTCTCACGCCGTGATGGTAGAAGTATTGAAGTGTAAAGACATACCAAATTGGATTGTTTGAGCACGGAGAAGAAAAATTCACCCTAAAAATTCAAACCTCGTTATAAAATTGACAGATACCCTTTTTAGTAACATTTCTGGACAATTCTGTATTTATTTTCATTGTGCGACCGCTTACTTCAACAGTTAGATACAAACTAGTATCGTTCGAAATAGTCGTGGTCAGCCGGCTATTGGCTAGTCTGCGCACTTTTCAGCAACCAAACTGTTTAGTTGACTCGGTGAGCACACTAGCAGCCTAATCCGACTAAACCATCGTCCGACAGAAAGTCTGCGGTCTGCGGGAGCCCTCTCTCTTACTACTTTGACCAAAAAATTAAATTGTGCGTGCCATTTAATCGCATATTCTCGGACTAGACTGCTTAGGAGATTAGATGCAAACTGTACCGAGTGACAAATCGATATCTACCGGTCAGCTGAAAAAAGAAGACTGGACCTGGAGGTTATCTCTGCTTGGGTATGCAACAACCTGATAACCTGATACAGTTTAATGCTTCCAAAACATAGTTCTGTACCTTACTAACAAAGAAGCGCCTTAGCGCTCATCCGGTTTCAATGGATGGGCGAGTTCTACCAAAGAACTGGTAGTAGTCCAGATCACCGAGGACTTGATCTGGCACGAACACATCTCGTCGATAGCGGCAGCTGCTGGGAAAAACTTAGCCTATTTGTTTAGACCAAAGAAGTACTTTTCTCCACATAACTTCCCCACTCTGTACAAAGCTCAATTAAGACCTAGCCTCGAGTACTGCTCACGTGTTTGGAGCGCTGCCGCCTCGACTACCTTATCATGCTTGATGCTGTTCAGAGGGGAGATGTCTGATTGATCAGTGACTCTAACTGGCAGTCTCGGGACCCTTTCACACTATCTAGCAGAACTGGCCGATACGACAGCTCTTTTGGAGCCTTTTCTCAGTTCTGCTAACCTTAGGCAAGTCAAAAATCGAATTAACAACGTTTCTTTAAGCTCCTCTAAGCAGCCACTGTGGTCTGGTATTTAAGCATCTGCTTAGGCGGCTTCTTCGGAATAGAAATAATAAATGACACATATTTTTGACCATATGGAATCAGAATAAAAGAGGCTATCATTTTTCATTTTTAATTAGAATATACAAGGTGTACTTTTTAAAAAATGTAACTTCATTCGATAGCGCATTTCTGAAACAAAAGTACAAAAAAGTAATTGCATGAAAAATTTTACATTGGACCCTACAACTTCTGCATACAACTTTTTTTCTAATCGGACATACGGAAAAGTCAGAGAGGGGACATTTTATAGTGGGAACATACACAAAAACTTTGGTACTTGACTTTTATGTAATTCCAAAGCCTTGAATATTTATATCCAATTTCATGAGTACTAAAAGAGATAGTCCGCCTAAGATCAACCTTGTAATATTCTCAAAGTTCTTAATGTCATTAGCAGCTTCCATTTTCCATTAATTTGTACTACATTTGGAAAATCAAAAGAAGTTATGTGGTCTTAACTGTTTCAAGTTGCATACAATGCATGTTTGTCAATTTAATAAGACGTAGTCAGAAAAGTGTAGATTTCAGAAACAAAAATTTGCTCTTTCTGTTGCCGCCAGGTGTCAACATCGAATATGACGTCATCATATAGCGAAAGACCGTATTACATCACGACACATCCCTGGACGCAAATCCAGCCGTACTGTCAAAGTCCATAGCCATCACTGTAAGCTTCGTGGCCCTTGGCTTCCAACACAGCGGGCTGGTCTTTGCTCCAGATGGATGCAGCTCTGGTTGCACATAAGGTTAGGCACAAACCTATATCTTAGAATAGATATTTATAAATTAATCAAGCCCTTTTAGGATTAAATCCATAATAATAATCTTTTGAATCGAAGTACGATACCCTTATTTTTTATGTTGCATCTTGATTAACAAAACCTACCTGAGGACAGTCAACTCAATACTATATTCGCTCGTGTAAAGAATTATTTGAGATGAAATGACAGGCCGTAGCGTCGTCTATTAGAGAATCTGTCACAGCTATGTTTGTCCTCTCCACAATAATTATAAGTCTACTTTGAAAAGGTTAATGTCTGGTGGATGGCGCCGTAGCTATATGCTCATACGGCGCCATCTATGAGATTCCTAATTATTGCTGAGAGGAGAAAGATAGCTGTGATGAATTCTCATCATGCTATCTCATGTTATCTCAAATAGAAGGTAGAATACGTTAATCAATGATCGAACATAACAAACACCCTGTTTTTAGTACAATTTTGTATTTTTAGGAAAAATAGAAAATACAGGAAGGGTCATTTGCAATCAGAAAAACCAGATATGTTACAATCATGAGCTATCGCCATTTTTAATAATTTGTGGAAAATCTCTACTTTTGAGACTGTACTATTTTTTCTGCAGTTGTATTTTGCTAGTTTTCAATCAGATTCACATAATATATTCTCAAATGATGTGTCGCTGGAGACAAGTTATGTACGAAAATTTAGTACAGTTAATATATTTACAGCAATTGGCTAATCTGCAATTTTGTTAAAAATATTACAGTATATTCAATGAGGCCTGTACAGAAAAACTAGTAGGCGGATAAAGTGTACATTGTGATGAAAAACTTCTTGATACTATGGCCTGCCTATTAGGTAATCAAATATCCTAAATAGTTTCTGGGCAAAGTAAATCGAAAAATTCCCGTTTTTCAAACTTCACCCTTTTCCCGTCATTGGTGACCTTCTACCTTCTGAATGTGATTGAAAAATAGTTGAGAAGCAACAAATTCTCAAATTCAGAGAAATGTCAGGTCTTTTCAATGTACGGGAGGCCGGCCATGACATGATTTTGGGTAATAGAAGCGTTATGGAAATCCCGCCATCGGGCGGGTATTACGTATCTTGAAAATTGGCATTATGTCGATTTTTTTTTGACATTATATTGTTTTTTTGTGATATTATGTAGGTTTTTCTACAAGATGTTAACTTAGCACTAGCTGATGGACACGTTGTGAACTCGTTTTGTAGTTGTACGTGTTGCCTAAACGTCATTATTCTTCAGTTATCAATGTCTGGCTCTGATGTGATGTAAAATCTGCTTCAGAGATGGCATTACTGGAGGTCGAATCTGTAAGTTGTATACTATACCTAGAAGGAACCGGCAATTCGTAGGTGCATAGTAAGGATTTATGTGTTGATGATAATTCCATTGGATTGTTGTCTCAAATACACTTACTTGAGATTCAAAGCTAGAAATTAGATGCTCATTCACTTTTTTTTCTCATCCATTCTGGAAATTACATATGCAAATTTGCTGAATTTCAAAAATGAGATAGATAGGAAATAATTATATTCACTATACACTGTCGAATTACAAGTCATCTAATTACAGTAATTACACACAACGCGGGCGCAGTGGTGATTTACCGTAATTCTCCTCAAAGTTTTCGAAAACAAAAAACGTAAAAAATCGGAATTCATAAATTTGAACATACCCTGTCTTCAGAAAGGAAAACATATAAATAAGCCATCGGGAACAGCTAATAGATATACTACATTGGCAGTATATTCAGTAATAATTTTCTTACGCAGCAAATATCACTGATTTTATACACATGCAGGCACATAATCATTCACATGCGATCTTGCTATTCGACCAACTGTCTTCTCAGAGATGAAAACTATATTCTGCTCACTCGGCTTCATAAAACATATGCAACCAACAATGCGTGTAGCTGAGCTATTCCTCCATAGATGGACGCTCACAACGATCCTAGTGAGCAAACGTGGAGTGACTGTTTGCACACTAAAAACTACCTAGTCTGCAAGATGACATTTTATAGTTATTTTTTTTTTACTTATGTGACTCGATGCAAGATGCCTTACTCGTCACAGGAACATGCAGAATGATTGTGCAATGGATTTGCTCGACGTGCTGACGAAGAATATCAAAACCGATGTCCTCGTAGAGCAAATTTTTCAAACCATCGTAGATTTATTTGTATTCACAGTGCCTATGTATTAGAAACAATACCAGGAAATAAGGAAAGGAAGGCCTAGGATTAGCGTAGATGCTGAAGATGGGTACTACAGTTAACTGAGAATGAGCCTTCTAGCAGCGAGCGCCATGTTTCGTGGAATATTTGTGTAGCACATTCAACGTGTCTATGCTCCTCTTCGAAAAGACTGCCCAAAGAGAGTCCTGTTTTACAGAACGATGCTCCAAGACTACTGAAATGACTCATAGACTCGCAACTTATGGGCTGGGCTAGTAAATAGCCAGAGAGAACTACCAGGGAGTTTGTGTAAAACTTTCTACGATATGGTTTCAACATGATGGGGCCCCTGCACACAATTCTCGCCAGGTCAAGGATTTTTTAAGTCGCACATATTCAGGCCTATGGATAGGGCGAAGAGGAACCATAACCTGACCGCCTCGTTCACCAGACCTCAACCCCATCGATTTCTTTGTATGGTAGTGTTTTATACTGGAATTCCAACCGTATTTTGCTACTGCGAGCAACAACCTCAGCAGTAATCCAGATATGATACGAGTACAGCGGATTGATAGGAAACAACAACATATGGTTCTTGGACCACTGCTTTTTATTTTATACTATATATCTCCGATCTTGATGAGGATATTCAGTTTTTGGCAGATGACTCGCAGTTATACAATAATTTTAATACTGCCAATATCATAATTGCTGAGGCTCAAATTAATGAAGACTTGAGGTCTATAGACAAGTATGCAAAAATTCCTAATCTTAAATTCAGAAAAATGAAAAGTAATTATATTCAATCCTAAAAAATTTAGAAATGAAATTAAGAAATATTAGACAATATCATTAACTGGTGAAATTATAAATATGTGAAACTGTAAAAAATCTAGGCATATCTCTTGATAAATGTCTGAATTTTATCTCTCATTATACTTGAACAGACACATTCTCGATTACAAAACTAAAAAAATTCTCTGTGAGTCATTAATTGTTTCAAAAATTACATACTGCGACATTGTTTATCATCCGCTTTTAGATTCAGTATCAGTCAAGCGCTTACAAAAAATTAAAAATTCATGTTGCAGGTTAATCTGTGACTTGAAAAAATATGACCACCCTACCTCCTCTTTCTTAAAACTGGAATGGTTATCTATTCCTAATCTATTTAAATTGCATATATTCACAAGCTTTTACTTACCACAATTCCCCCATTTTTGAAAGATATATATATATATATATATATAAATTTCGTGGTTCTATGCACTTACGAGATATTCGCTTTATGGATACGATAACAATTGCTCCTCACAGAACTTCATTTTTTACCTAAATGTTAACTTATAACGCTACTATCACGTACAATGCTTTACCCTCTGATACTAAAACTTTTAATTTCAAGAACTTTAAAAATTATTTATGAAAAATAATTTTCGAACAATCATTTACATAAATGTATCTCTTACTTCTGCTTATAATATATGCATGAATATGTATGTATAACGTTATACTTTTATCCAATCTTGATTTACCTTTCTTTTACTCATTTAATTTATCCTTTTTTTTTATGTTGAAACTCTGCATTTTAGTAGTTGGTATATATTTTTTTTATGGGCATTTTACGGGTTAAGTGGTAGAATAGCTTATGCTAAACTTCGCCCAATAAAGACGTTTTATTATTATTGTTATTATTATTTTATAAAACAAGAAGCGATTGACCTCTAGGATATAGAGGAAATAAAATTCAATCATCACATTCACGTAATCTAATAATCACACACAAGGATTTACTATCTTCTATTTCCATTACATAAGGCTGGTACTTAGGCTTACAGAATTAGGTATTGTTTTGGTAACGCTTTTAACACCCTTAAATAATGTCGAAGATACCATTCCTTGAAATGATTAGTCCTAGAATTAATTCAGGTTTGAAGATTTATTGTCACATAAGTGTTCGCCGATCCTATTTTGTGGAAAGAAGATCAACAGTGATAGTAGAGGCTTAAGTTTGAAAGATGGAGATACCCCGATTTAGGGTACCTGCAGCATTTTCCCTACTTTGCGCCGAAGCTATTTAGGATATTTGGTTATTTTAAATGGACATAATATTGGGAAGTTTCTCATTATTGGGAAGATCTTATCCGCCTACTAAAATTTTGTACAGGCCTAGGTGAAGATACTGTAATCCTTTTGACAACAGACAATGCTGCAAATTTGTCGTTGGAAAAGTACAAGCTTCAGGACAGCTTCAGAAAAACTCGACTCAAAAACCGTGCACAATCGAATAAGGCCATGTTTGGTTTTTCTGACTGCAAATGACGCCCCCCTCACCCTCTTCTGTTTGCCCCATGACTTTTGGGACACCCTGTATAGGTTGCTTAAGATTTGTAATTAAAAAACAAAAACCCGATAATGTTTTTATCTCTACACATGGTGAATAGGGAGAAATTTCAAAAGATAATTTCGTACATAATCCTAAGACAAAGGGCTCTCATACTATAGATCCGGAAATGCATCGTTTTCAAGATACAAAGTGTCACTTTCTTTTATTAAAATGTTTCTACATAATAATTTAAAGGAAATGCTTCATAGTTGTAAAATTACATATTGCCTGGGGCTTAAATCCGTAGTTTTTCTTTAGTGTTGGGGTTTTGTTGACCAATTATTTCTATTCCATTAAATTCAAGTTTGCAAGGTTACAGCAGTGCACATGAATATTCAATAAATTTAAACAAACCCGGTTAAAGATTTGTTGTGATTATTACGAAAAATCGATGCCCTTGAAAAAAGTTTGACTGTATCTTAAAAGCACAGCATTATCAGACCTATGTGTATATAAATTTTTGGTCTTGCCGTTTAGTCAGATACTTTATCAACACACGATACATCTATGGCAAAGACAAAAAATAGTAGTAGTAGTAGCCGTAAAGCATAACACTAATTCAAAAACGTGACGAAAAACAAGAAAGTCTCATACTTCATATTTGGACATTTATAAGGTTTTGATCGATATTCAAATAAATGCGCTTTGTATTGAATATGCTTCACATTTTTCTAACTGGACTACCATAGGAAATAATAATAATAATAATTACCTGGCAGGTTACATCAGCAAAAGCTGTTTTTCAGAACCAACCAGGGCTAAAAAAAATTCAAGTAATACAAAAAAATACACAGAAGATAATAAGAAAATTTAAAGCAGAAACATAGTTTTTTTTCTGAAATACATACAATGCAAATAGATCCACTTATAACAGTTGGAGGATATTGAGTAGCTAATACCAGAGGCAACATTAATCTATTTGACGAGTTTTTGATATCAACGTGAAAGGTTATCCACAGAGACTAGTAGATATGACGTTTTGACCACATATATAGCAAAAATCTCCGTAAGATGCGGGAATCTTCATCTTTTCGTATACAAAACGCTTGATAGGCAACGAGACACTTGACGCAAACTGTCAACCAAGTTCTTATATTATTTCGATTGGTATCGGTATCATATCCGAATGGTTCTAAACTGTTTGCGCTTGAACAGACTTGTCAGCAGAGTTTGTAGTACAGAGAAAGTGCCAGAAAGCCATTGGCCAGGGATCATAGTAACAATACTGCTGGTATTGTGTTAAACAATCGCTATAAAAGCAATCTGATCGCTATTATTCGCACTAGGTACTAGTACAGACACGTCACGTCTGCTCGCGGTGAACGCCGCCTATAAAGAAAAGTCACAACGACCGTCATTTCCCTGAACTACATGAACTTGCAGCTTGGGCCATAGAGGCTATGAATGGCCCCCGCTGGTGCTACTATATTTCTGAAGTTCGGACAATACACTACTGATACAAGTGACTGCTGGTTGATTATCGTATTCTAGCTGAAGATAGCCAACCATCTGCTGTATTCTGGCGTCCAAAAATGGATCTTAAAGATCCTAGCGCCATCTATGAGACACTAGTAGAACACGCAAATGAGCACAGAAATCTACTTTGAAAAGACGAATTAGAGTGTTTGGTTCGGTTACTGCCTCATAGATTACGCTAGGTTCATAACTTAGTTTTTGGCCTGTCTAATGCCTGTTTTAATTGAGTATCTTCAATTAGAAAGTTTATTATAGTCTAAAATAATACCAGCTTTTGTTGCATATAACTGTGTAACTGGTATCTTTGACAATCTGAAAGAATTATTCCGATAACTTGAAATTTTGTGTTCGAGCGGGACGTCACAGTACACTCGTTCATCATGATCTCTAACGGTCGCGGCCGGATGACGCTGCTTCGTTATTCGGGGCTTGCTCAGTAGATTAGTTCTTCATTATCGGAATAAGAAGCTCTGTTAGTTACAGACAATAAGGAAGATTTTATGTATATTAAGCCCACACGCGACCTACGCCTATGCATCCCCACCTAGACGCACACAAGTTTCGAGGAGTATTTCCCTCCACCCATCATTACTCTAATAATATTCATATTATCTCGAAATAAGGGCAATAATAAAATACATCCCAGTTATCGTTCACATTAGATTCTTCATCCATTATAATAGGCACATACTCTAGTAATTATTATCATGATCCTTTTTGCCATATCAGCTTAACCTTTCTAACATCAAAATGAGATTCACAGCAGTACAATGATCTCTCTCTAAATTTCTTATGTTTTGGCGCGGTAACATTTTTTTCTGGAGCTGATATGCCTGTATTTGTACACCTAGTGTCTGAAAATCGAAGGTCTGCCCCATTCTTTACATGTTTGTACGTAAATTGTAAATAAAGATCAGAGCAACATTTGTAAATCCATCGCATTATGGTGGCGATGGTTTAAAGTGACGTCATTACTGACTCACGCTCCAGTATGACAAACCTTCTATTCAGCGCAACCTTGTCATTTTTTAAGATATGAAAAAAATTGACTGCTATACTCCACTATCATTTTGAGTGTATTTTAATAAATAGGACACCTACTCATTGTAATAGGTTAATTAATATTTAAAGATACTCAATTGAAATAGAAATTACAAAAGACAGTTCAAAAAAGAATTGAAGATCTTAGCATCATCTATGAGACAGTCTTACTATTACTATTTTTGACGTAAATATCTAAATTTATTTTTGTGTTCTGCTATCTCATAGATGTCGCTTGGATCTTTCAGATCGCTTAATGGACTCCAGAATACAGTATATGGCTGGCTACATTCATGTAGGATATCAATACTAGCACGTAGTAAAAGATTATAAGTGAAAGATTGCATCTGACAATCGCCACAGCTTTGAGTAATACGGATGTGAGATTTGTTCCGCAATTGAAGCTTTTATTTCAACATTGTTTTCCATTGTTTCAGGGCCCTCTGATCCCAGCCGCATTCACCAACGGCTACCATTGAGTCGTCCTACAACAGCACATTGGAGGAGGACAGTCTAGTGTTGTGTGACCGGCAGTATCGGCTATGCAATCGCAGCCACTGTGATCCACCGTCACAACTATATGCACCTGTACATTCACTTTATGTATAATAATAATGATTAATAATACTAATGGTAATGTGTAGCACCCCGCTAGAGGCGAGGCCCACTCGTTGTTGTAATGTTTGGTGTAACGCGCTTCACGTCCCGCTCTTCGACTTCCGGTGACAGCTGACATATGACATTCACTCACTCTCTTATATAATCCGATTTGGTTTTGCTTCAAGAGCGCACGTGCGATCTTACATGGACGCTTTACTGAGACGCCACTGACATTGTTATTGATTTTCTGTCCTTTATCCAGACCCACCCCATCTTTAATATACCATCGGTCTTGTACTGTTTTTGTTTAATGATAACTATTATCAAACGGTAAGTTTTTTTACTAAATCTAAGGTACTATTCTCACTCACAAAATCAACTCGACGGCAACTCTACTTCAACCCGATTTCATCCCGTTTTGAGGTTGTTGAGCAAGTCACTAACTATGTTGAGACGGTGGACTATAAATAGTTTATTTTAATTCTTGAAAACCTTCACTGGAAAAAAGCGTAAAAGAATGAATTCAACAAATAAACTCTAACCAGTCAACAGAGTATTTTGTAAAATGCGACTTTTCTTTTAACAACCACGTTCGAAACAGCAACGCTCTTAAGCGATACAATAGCACAGGAAACTTAAAAAGAATTGAAGAAAAAATCTCACGATTCATTTGGTAAGGAATTTCTAGTATTGCTCTATAACATGTTTTGTTTGTAAATATTGCTCCAAGTTGTCGCTGTTCATTTCAAAAACCTGAGTTATTTCACTTCTTCCTACATTTGCAACATCACAGAGGAGGAGGAGGAAGAGGAGACGGAAGATGAGGACCGAGAGGCAGGGTAGGACTGGCACATTTAGTTTAGAGTTTCCGGCACTTAATGTCTCGGTTATACAAGTATTAAGGCTTTGTTATATGTGTTACTAGGAAAACTTGCTCATTACTGCCTAACCTGTACGCTCTGTAAAGAAAAGTCCTAACTTCGAGGTATGTGGTATATTGTATTTTCCAAAAACGCCAATTACGTATCAATTATAGTGTGCAATGAACGATCTGTGGAAAGCAACACCTTGTACGCAAACATATTTTCCGAGTCTGATGATCACTCATACACTGTCAAATTACTTGTAACACCTTTTGAATCAAATTTAGCTCTGCTGAGGGGTTATTATTACTGATGCCCCCACTGAACCGCTTTAACGGACACGGAAACGCGATGGTGAAGTACTTTTATCGGATGCTGAATGATTTTTTAAAGATACGAAGTAGGGTTGAAGTCTTGTTGCTTTAGTGACAAAGAGTATGAGGATTCCACTCTAGGCTTTGAGTTTCAGCACTATCTGTTATTAAATTTTGTAGTTGTTTGGGTAAGTAAAAAGAATTTATTTTATCCATTTATCTTTGTTAAAAGTAGGTATTGCCTATACTATTAGATTGGGCAACGGTCTTTATCGATTTTTCTAACCTAAATATTGTAGATTGAAGAAGCATGGGGGGATATTATAGGCCTAAATACAACCTCATATTTCAATTGATTGCATTATATCAATAAATAACTGTCTATGTTGTCCACTGAATGATGTTACCAAAATGAAAAAGGTTAAACTTTTTTGGTTAGTACGATAAAAGCCGAAGATTCGAATTCCTATTGATTAAAACAGGTCTGTCTTGGTCGTCGCACGTGTGTCTCTGATACTGAATAAACGATGATTGGTTATTCTCTAGCCGCTCTGGGAGGTAAAGCAATTACTTTTGATATTCGTTACATGTGAGCAGATGTAAATATGCAATCATACAGGATTTGTCGGTGGTTGGAAGTAATTTTACTATAAATGCTCTTGGTTTCAATTACCAGAATTATCAGGGTAACTCTTGATTCAACATTATAAGAGAATGCACCACATGACTAACTGAAAGCATACTTTTTCATAATATACAGGGTGTCCCAGAAATAGCACTCCAGAGTGACCTGGGAGTTAGATTGGATTCAGAGCAATCAGATAAAATCAACATGATCTGATTCAAAGTTTTCTAGTTTCCGAGATATTGCCACTTTTAGGTTTTTTCAAAAAATCACTACTTTTTGCTGCTTTTTTGCCTGTTATGGCTATTTAAAACTTCTAAAATATGTGTTTTTTCCTGTTCTACCACTATTGGTTAGTTGAGACATTCATTCATTGAAAACTAGCGCGGTATGATAAAAAAATTAATACATTTTGTTTCAATGTGAAAACCTTCACTAAAGGTTGACTAATTGCTGTGATAAAAATTTACGAAACTGATATTAAAAACTAGTGTCTTTAATGCTCTTTTAAAAATAGTATAACATTTGTAGGTTCTTTCTACTAAAAATTGAATAATTCCAAGTTTTGTCATTGAAGTCGTAATACTTGCGAAATACTACAAATAAAAAATAAGTGCAGCAGTCTTTTGTATCCAAATCACTAAGGAATGAAATGACCTAAACAGCGAAAGAGCTAAATAATACGTGTGTAGCGTTAACACAATGAGCAGTAGTAATAAATTAACCATGCGCATGAGGTGCGCAGGTACCACATCTCAACAATAAATGTAAAAGCGAGATAGTCAATGACATGTTTAGGTCGTTTCATTACTCAGTGATTTGGATACAAAAGACTGCTGTACTTATTTTTTATTTCTAGTATTTCGCAAGTATTACGATTTCAATGACAAAACTGCAATTATTCCATTTCTGGTAGAAAGAACCTACAAACGTACGATTTTTAAAAGAGCATTAAATAGGCTAGTTTTTAAGATCATTTGCCGATAAAGTCTGGTACATTTTTTATACAGTAATTAGTCAAACTTCAGTAAAGGTTCTCTCATTGAAACAAGAAGTATTATTTTTTTTTCTATTATACCGTGCTAGTTTTCAACCAACTATTAATGGTAGCCCAGGAAAAATATCATAAATAAGAATTTCTAATATGAGGCAAAAAAGAAGCAAAAAGTAGTGATTTTTTGAAAAAAACTAAAAGTGGCAATATCTCGAAAACTAGAAAACCTTTACCAAAGTCATTTTGATTTTATCTGATTGATCTGAAGCCAATTTATCTCCCGTGTCACTCTGGCGTGTTATTTCTGGGACATCCTGTATAATTTAATTGATTTTTTTTCGATTAGCCTGAATAGATAGCATAGGTATGCCAGCTCAGTAAATGTAAGGGTATTTTATAAAACATCATCGTAAATCTTTTATAGACTTCAAGATCTACATCTTGATACATAATTTGAAGATCGTTTGTACTTATTGCTAACCAACGTAATCTGCTCGATGTAACGATGCATGGTGGTTTTAGGAGTACATAAGTTCCTTGAGCAGTATTATTTTTTACATATCTACTCTAGCTGAGCGAACAAATCTATCAACCGATTTATTTTTTTAACTGAAACGGCATGGTCTTGACGCATTTGGAAAGATGCTGTACCAGAAGCGTACTATAGTACAATCAACCTATGTCGTAAGTCATGATCATAAATCATCGACGTATATTTGCTCGGTAACTTTTTACTATATTAAGCAGTACTTATATGTATTGTCCAAAATTTATTTGCACCTTCCACCCTTGATATTATTCACTTCATGTGGAACTGGTCTAGATACTCCGGATCATTTTCTTGTAAAGTGTCAACGAAAAATGGATACTTTGAATGGATTTTCAGCCACGTTATGGGTAAACATGATGATAGGAATAACACGGCACGTTTCTTAACAGCTTAGCGATTATGAGAAGAATAAAGGATATGACTGTACGACTATGACTGTACTATACGATTACCAATCATCGTCAACGTATCGCTAACCGGCAGTCGTAGGTGCGCTATATATCACCAAACACAGGCACTATTGGTTAACGTCTTACGTTATATTTACATATGATATATTACAGGGTATCTTAAGGGGTACTGCCACTCTATTTTGCAAGCAAAAAAATCAACTTAGATACTATATAAAATGAAAACTGCTGAGAAGTATATTTTGGATGCTTCATGTATACTGCGTAAAGCTTCATTCACTTCATTTTTCTTATCGGTTAAATGAACAATGAAACTTGTCTTAAATACCAGTACAATGAAAAATAAACAAATTTAGCTATATACCTAATCGAACTTCTTAACAATTCTTGCACTCCTAGACACATACATAAAGGAAACTGCTAAAGATTTTATCAAATAGCTATGCATAGGTTTATATCCTCCACGTAGAGTTATCGAAAATTCATGTACAATTTCTTGAAACTTTTGAAATATGTAAAGTGACATTACCCCTTAAAACAAGGGATACAAATCCTTACATACATTATTATTATAAGGACCAACTTGGCAACAGCTGCACACGTATAAAACAAATGAATGAAAATTTTGGGTGCGTTGCCGTGGCAAGTTGATTATTTCGTTGTTTTTATCGATATTCATTTTCTCTTAGTTTTTATTTGTCTATAGTTGTTTTATATAAATTTTATTATTATTCTATTGCGTAAGATATATATGATATATTGTATTATTCATTAAAACACAAAATAAATGTAAGTTATGTGGTACCTATAAGCCTCATGAGCTTATGAGGAATCTGTACTCAACATATACTGTATTCCTTTGAAACTGAAACAACTCCAGCAGTTAAAACGCACGTAGTTGTCTTTAAAAAAAATATTTTGTTCAAAGTGGCCGGAAACAGAGAAAAACAGTTCTTCATATTTCAGTATCCATACTTTGGCACAATATGAATTTATTCGGTGAGTATCTCCACCTGGATTAAAAGTACTAAAGCTACTTTTCGTGCATTTTATTTAAGCGTCTATATCTCTATATCTATTACAACCTGAAGAACTTTTATGGTTTACGAAGCTTTCCACACATATACTTTAAGCTTCCATGCAATGTATGTCTATTGTGATGTACCCAATCTGTATGGGTAGTAAGTCCGACTGGCTTCACAAGAATACTTGTCTGAGCGTTTCAGTTTCAGTGAAATATGTTATATTTTCACTGTATAATTTCATAAAATCTGTATATAATTCTTGTTATTGTTTCAGTTTTCAGTAGGATGAAATGAACAGAAAAATAGCACACTGCAGTACTAGCAACTCTAAGGTGAGTCAGAAACGTCTATACTTCCGAATGAACATAGCGCATATTTCCCAAGTATGTAGAAAGGAGTTATCAACTTTGCTATTTTTTTTTGACATTTGATAATAAATACAATATTAGATGGTTAAAAACTTATCTAATAATTTACGGATCTTAAAAAAAAGTTAAGTGTTAAAAGTATTATCTACTTTTAACATCTTCACATTTAATTCTTTCAAATCTTCATACACTTAGAAGGAAAGTAGCAGTTCTTTATATTCTTACATAAATACTCTCAATTTTCAATTCTTTATTATCTCTGTTTATTTCATCCTACTACGTCTGCGTACAACTAGTAAGAATGCAAAACCACTCCACAAGTCCTTGTACTGTAATATTCTTATCCCATTCTAGATCTGTCTCATTGTTAGCATAGGGAAGATCAATTTAAAGGTATATATTATATAAATGAATCAATGTTTCCTGTTATTATGTGAATATTCTATATAAATTGGGAAAATTGAGAAATTGACAAAAATCAGACTTTTAACCAAAGTTGGCAGTTTTAAAAGGAAAGTGCGTGTTAAATAAATAAATGGTTAAAACTACTTAGCTGATTGGTAATGGAAACATCATTTTTGTGGTCAACATCTGTCTTTATTTATATATATGCTTAATTTGTGTTGGATGAAATGTCAATGTCATCAAATGTCTACTATGATCGGGTATTGTAAGATGTCATAGTGAAATTCGATTTGTCAATTTCTCAAAATTCGGTATCAATCTTCATGTGGTTAATAAGGTGTGTTATTATTTTATGGTTATTTTTAAGTTTCTCCGCCGAACGATTGGCTTGTTATATATGATCATAACGATACATTGTTATCCGAATGATCCGCGAAAAAGCAGCTGCTTGTAATTTAATATCCCTCAGTACAAAATCACCACGATATAAATTAATGCATTATATGTAGATCGAGTGATTGGAAATAAGGGTTTATGCGCTGACATGCATCCATACGTATGAATAGAACATTTACATTACTGATCAAAAAATTTGATTGGAAAATCTCGTTCTGATAACATATCCTTATCAAAATACTGTAGGCTAACGTGCCGTCAATGCCTACTATCTAGATCTTGTAGCTAAAATACAAACAATCTCTCTTAAACCAATGCTATTGAGCGCAGACCGTATCTCAATAAGAGAGATTTTCCTGGCTTCAATATTAAAAGACGGTAAAATACGTAAAAGTATGGAAGGCTAAGGATGCTTGTTCCGAAAAGATGGCCTGCTAAACACGATTTCGGCACTTGCGCTACATATCTGATTGTTGTGACTTGAATATATGCATCTTACTCCAAATCCCGAATAAGCTAGTCCGCTGTTTCTCATACACTACTTCTCAGCACGTAAATATAGGCCTTTTGGTTACATAAGAACTAACATCTTTCAAAAGTAACCCGACGCACTTGACCAGTTACCAAAGCAAGAATAGTATTAAAACGCCTTGCCAAAGATTAGTCGAGAACTAGAATCAGGATAGCGACCACAATGTCGCTGTGGATGGATGTCAGTTACTTGAAACGTCTCAGTGATTGATTTTCGTAAGCCAAGTGCCAAAAGGGAAACTTCACAGTGAATAATTTAATCTTAGTTAGAACAGTGGAAAAATATCAGAGCCGTCAAAACCTGCGAAATCCTTTTTAGATAAGTATTATAAGTAAAGTCCCCAATGATTGTGAGCTATCGGTATACTCGTTCCACGTAATTAATACAAACGTTCCCGTTCCAGTTGGTCCAGTTCTTACGCCTCATCCGTATAGTATTTCACACTTTTTCAGCGGTTCCTGTTTTTTTTTCGCTGCTTTAATTAGGATTGTATCTACTATGACTACAGAAATACTTCATTCGACAGAGTTGGTTCCTTCTGTCACATATCAAAATTCGTTAAATTTTAATTTTGAACATATACGTCACTTACATTCACCTACAATTCAATAAGTTCAGTGAATACGTTCATAAGGCAACAACAGTAGCAACATCTGCCAAGACACAGTCCATTTTTTTCAACCTACACAACAATCGTATTTAGGAAGAGAAAATGTGAATTGTGACTGCTGAAATCAATTTCCAATACTTTGCTTTGGAACAAACCTTCCGAAACCGGGATACAAGTTTTACTTATTGTTACAAGTCTCTCCGTACGAATTCTCCCTGATCAAGATGACCTCTAGTAAGAAGAAATGAACTCTGTTGAATGAAGT